AACCACACACTATACATAGCCATAATGCAGGGCATTGTACAGCTCAAATGCTTTGTCCTGTATAGACGCACACCTCTCAGCTGGGCTGCAGCAACCTGTGCTACACTTGCTGAGGGGAAGTCTCAGTTGCTAGAAAACACCCTCTCTGTAGGACTGTGGGCTGTTACAATGACACGGGTACTGTCTTCTGCTGTCCACACTGTTTTTGCAGTGGTCCACCAGGATCTGGCTCTGCCTTTCGGAGATCTTAGGTAGAAGCAGAGTAAAATAGAAACCTGCCTTTCTTTGGGGAAGAGAAAAGGAAGGAGAGAAAGATTGTCAGGGAAGTGAGGCTCTGGAATAACTTAGGGGACTGAGCACTGGGCTGCCAGGGTGTCTGGGAGGGCTGGGCAGAGCACAGCTAGGAACGGGTGGTATGAGTTGGGTACCCCAAACACTGCAGAAATTCTTGTTGTGCATGTTTTAAATAGTGTCTGTGTCTGGGAAGGAAGGAGAATGATGCACGCTAATCCTTTTCTTCCAAGCTAAGCGGGTTGCAGTTGGATAATACATGATGTGACAGACTTGTATCGTAGCTCTTTGCCAACCAGGCTTTGCTTCTTCATGCGTGCCTTGTTCGGATTTGCTAGTGCAGCTGAATTTCTGGTGGAGATGCCTCCTTCAGTTCAGCCAGGAAAGGTGTCTTTGACCTGCAAATTAGAGCTAAAGAATTAAATGAAGTTGTCTAATTGAGCTATTAACAGATCTCTGGGTGTCACATGCTAAGAACAGAAGTGCCTTTATGCCATTTTCATCTTGAAGGGGAGTAGAACTCTCATACCATTTCCACAGTGCAGCCTTTTAGCTGATGCATGTGCTTTTAGCATGTAGTAGAGTTTATTCTGCCCACTTGGCCTCAACATTGAAGTTGATATAATGGAAGCTGCAGCTGGGGAATACAAATTATACTTTTGTTTGAGTTTTTTTTTTGTTTTTTTTTTTTGCTGGTAATTAAGTCAAAACTTAATGCATCAAAGTTAAACACTTTTGCATTCTCTGTAGATCTGGGCATACAGCTTTGATGGTAGGTCTGGGATGGTTCACTGAGTTGTGATTTGTACCATTACCTTTCATAGTATCTGAATGAAACCAGCATATTTCAGTTTTGTCCATGTAACTTGGAGCAGTGACTTTCTACTGGCTGACACTCTGCTGAGTCGCTCATGAAACCATTTGTCTGTGTTAAGTCTTTCCAGTAACTTTATATATCAGTCATGGAGTGTCAAATGTCTTAAAGACTTTTGAATAGTAATCTGATACGTTGAATGCTACATCAATCCTCTCAAGTGACACATCCACTGAAAGCTCCACTGCTCCCTTCAGCAAATCTTGGTTTATAAAAAACATCCACTGGCTAGAGATAGTCTCTTTGAGAAACAAAAAAGGATTACACTTTAGTTGCAAGGGGGCCCATATCTCAGAATACTGTTTAAGTTACAAACCTCATCTATGTTTGTGGTATCCCCTGCACCACTGAAAGAAACAAAATGTGTGTAATCTTGGAAATAGCTGTAATTTTTGCTGTGAAAGCACTTTGCAAGGGGAAATTGTAATGATGGCTTCCTGGTTTTGATCTGTAGGCTTAAAAACAGAACTGCTAGAAAAAAACATTGTAGGACTCTCCTCTTTTTAAAATGGATTTTTAACAGTTTTGATCATCTTGCTTCATGGGAGAACTTTTCTCTCTCTTCCCTTTCTACTTCCATGCAGTCTTTTTTCCCTTCGTCCATATAGGGAGGAGTCACCTGAAGGGCTTTCCTCTCAAAGGATGGTGATCTTGAGTTGAAAGCCACAGGACTGAAGATAACAAGCAATGGAGGTGCTCATGGACAGAATAAGACAGCGGCAGTTCAGAAAAGCCTTACCTGTGCAACCAAGTGTCATGGGACTTAGATGGGGGTCCATCCTCCTTAGCAACTCAGTGTTTCAGTTTCTAGAGTGGGCCAGTGTCTCTGATCATTCAGAGCCACTGATGGGCAGTAGCGGATGTGGTGTGTGCGAGGCAGCAAGGTGAGAGCAGCAACAGGCAAAGCAGTAATCTCAGTACTAGGGGTAGAGTGCTACTCAAGAGCAGAGTCTCCTCAGTAAACCTAAGCAATGATGTAAAGCTCAGGAAAGAGGCTGCAGCTGTCCCAACAGTATGGTCAGTCCTTTCTGGTCTGTTTCAGACAGAATGAGAGGAGATGGAGGGGATCTCTGCTTTTCTGCCTTACCTTGAAACTAACTGGAAGGGAAGTTCAGGAGTCAGTGGCTGGGAGGAAGGCAGGCAGTCGTGAACAGGTAGAGCAGTGATGTGTGCCCACATGTATAGCTGCAGGCCCAGAAGTTGTGTTTGCAGAAGTTGCTGGATGTTGTAGAAGCTTGCATGGATCTGCTGTCCTTTTTCCCTGGTGAGTCACTCATCTATATTTGGAATGGAGAGAGTGGATTTGGGGGGGGGAGGAAGGGATCTAATTTGGAAGGTGATTGCATCAAAGGTTCATCATTTGCAATGAACCCTCACCCCACACTTTGATTTCCTTGAATGATCAGACTGAAATGCTGTTGAGGTTGATGGGTGACCACTGTCTCAGTTCCTCACA